CCGTCCATCAGTCAGTCAAATGTTTGCTTACACTATTTAAATAGGCCCCATTTGGTAGCAGCTGTTGCTTACGGCCACACACTCCGGCCAGTGCTAGTGAGTAGCACCAGAGAGGAAGTGAGTTGGCTGCAGTAGGTGAGAGGCTCACCAAACTTTTGAGTTTATATTTAGTTTTGAGTTTCAATAAGTGTTTATTTTTAGTATTAATTACTTTTCTTTCTTTGTTTCAATCCTCCCAGCACCGGGCTGTTTGGGGGAGGAGGTTAAACTTAGCTTGCGTCTTCTTTTTTTCTTTTTTTTTTTTTTTTTTTTTGGTGTTTAAAATGGATTACGAAAGGCAATGGATACGACAATGGCAGGAGAACCACGACAGGGACATGACAACGGACCGGATAAACGACGATGAGATGGCTACAGAAAAGTGACAATAAATCAACAAAAAATTGTATGTAAGAAGCAACTGTGACTGTGGATCTGGGAAATGCGAAGGAAGCCAGAGCTGAAGACATCATCAAATCAGTGACAGAAAGAATCGGTGAGGGAAAATCTTGCGGTGAGACCAAAGCATCCAAGAGAATACGAGGTGACACTTGAAAGAGAGGACGACATGAAAACATAACGGACGGGCTGCTAATTAAAGGCATGCAATGTGAAGTGAAAAGACTGCACAACAAGGATTATGTGGTCTCCTTCATGCATCTGCCTGTTTATCTGGATGATGAGGACATTGTTCATAAACTAGAAGGGATGGGGAGTAATCCCCAACTCTGAAATTAAAGGAAGGATGTATCTGGGCACGGAACATTGAGGATGGGACAAGATTTGTTAAACCAAAGTTCCCAAGGAGAGTTGACGTCCCCTCCGTATAGCACCAGGATGGAGACTGCAGAAGGACGCACTACTTCGGGTGATGCACAGTCACCAGGTGAAAACTTGTCGTCCCTGCTGCATGAGCCCGGAGCATGTGGTGAAGGACTGCCCCGACTTTACGTGCTATAAATGTGAGGAGAAGGGGCATTTTGCAAGGAACTGCAACACGGTGAAGTGTCCGGATTGCAAGAAGTTTTTAATGCAAGTATGAATGCTGGATGGAGAATGAGCAGGAAGAAGAGGAGCAGATGAATGGGCAGGAGCATGAAGGAGATGGTGAGAAGGAGAAAGGGGAAGAAACCAGAGGACCACAGGGAAGTGAAACAACAGACATCACGGAAAAATGGAGGACAGACGGATGTATACAACAAACAAACTGTGCAAATTGAGAAGTCTTGACACAGAAAGACATGTCTGTGAATTTGGAAAGTGTACTGGACAGAGCAGAACAGAAAGAACAAATGACTAGAGAACAACGTGCTGAAATCGACAGTGAAGAGGGGGAAGAAATGGAGGATAAAACAATGACAAAGATGAAAAGAAGACGTTCCTTAAAGGTAAAACCAAGCTTGGAAGCAGCCAGGAAAAGAGTGAGTAAAAAAAAGGTGCTTAAACATGAAAACAGATGTTTTAAGGACATGGTGGGGATAGACTGAGAAGATAAATTTGATGTACGTCTTCCTCGTTTTTATGATTTTAAGAATTGTTACATTTAATGTCAGAGGTCTTTTAAATGTGAAGAAATTTGAGAGAGTGATCGAACTGCTTAAAAGGGAAGATGTAATTGTTTTACAAGAAACTAATTGGAGGGATGGGTATATATGTGAAATAAGGAAAAGATGGAATGGGGACATATTTTATAACAATGGTGTTGATAAGCTTGGCAGAGGAGTAGCAATTCTAATAAAAGAAAATAAAGACATAAATTGTAAAATACTGTACAAGGACAAATTTGGGAAATGTATGGTGGTTGAGATAGAATATGAAGAGAGGACAGTGGTGGTGGTCAATGTACATGCACCAACAGCGGAGCAGGAAAAGAGAGTATTTTAAAATTTTAAGGGAGTTTTTAAAGAAGCACAATCAAGTTATTATAATGGGGGATTTTAATACAGTGTTTAGTAAATTGGATAAAGGGAATGTTTTTTAAAACTGACACAGGAAGAAAAGGGCTTAAAATCATTGATGGAAGAAAATAACATGATTGATATATGGAGAGAAAGGAATGAAAGAAAAAAGAATACTCAATGAGGCAAATAGTCGGGAATGTTATGTGTAAAACAAGAATTGACTTTTGTTTTATGTACATGCAAATATAGAAGGTTTTCTAGAAGGGCTGAGGTATGAAGAAACAAGCCTAAGGTCATCACAAACCACTTTTTTGCAAATACATTGGAGTACAAAAGAGAGCCAGGAGTATGGGTCTTAAACACAGAGGTTTTAAAGAATGAAGTATATGTTGAAAAGATAAAGACCCTCATTGAGAAAGAGAAAAGAAAATGGAATGTATGTGGAAGATAAAATAATATGGTGGGAAAATGTGAAGTATTTAGTGAAAAAGATAACAATAAAATATTGCAGACAAATTCGAAGAAGCAAAAAGAATAAGGAAGGAGAAACAAGGGAAAGATGGGAAAAAGAATTAAATGAGAGAAAAGATATATAAAAATTCATAGTGATAGAGCAACAACTGAAAGAAAGTGGAGGAAAATAAATATCAAGGTGCGAAAGTTGCGAGAGTAAAGCACAGTATATAGTGGAAGGAGAAAAGTGCACAAAATTATTTTTCGATCTGGAAAGGAGAAAGGGGAAAGCTGAAACAATAAAAAGAATAAAAGGAGAAAATGGAGAAGTAGTAGAAAATAATGAGGAAATTTTGAAAGAAATAAAAGCATATTATGAAAAGCTATTTAATACAGAGGGGAGTAAAAGAAGAAGAAGAAAAAGTATCGCTATTGAAGCAGATAAAAACAAAATTAGGAGAGGAAGATAAAAAAGATTGTGATCAAGACATAAGAGAGGAAGAGATTAAAAAGCTATAACCGAATGAAATAGAAACAAAAGTCCAGGTATAGATGGTTTGGGGAGTAAGTTTTATATCGCTTTTAAGGATTTTTGTAACTAGCATCTTAATAGAAGTATATGGAGAGTTTTTTAGAAAAGAGAGATGAATCAAAGAATGGGAATGGGTTTGATGAAATTGATATATAAAAAAAAGGAGAAAGGGTAGACTTAAAGAATTACAGACCGATCACAATGCTCAACACAGATTTAAAGATTTTGGGCAAAATTTTAGCCAACAGATTAAAGGAAGTAATGCCGAGTATAATTAAAACAAATCAAGTATACGGTGTAAAAGGAAAAGACATAGCGAACACAACAATGAGCATAAATGATATGATCAGGTACATGAAAAGCAAAAGGCTATGTAATTAGTTTAGACTTTGAAAAAGTTTTTGACAGGGTGGAACATGATTATTTATTTGGAATTTTAGACAGTTTTGGATTCGGACAGAATTTTATAGAATGGATTAAAATTTTATATAGAAAATGTAATACCGAGAATAAAGTTGGCGGGTTTTTAACACAGTGTTTTAAAATAAAAAGATCCATAAGACAAGGATGTCCACTATCAGCTCTTTTTATATTACTAGTTTCAGAACCACTAGGACTCCCCATAAAGCAAGAAGACAAAATAAATGGAATAGGTGTTGAAGGAAGTAGAGAAAAGGAAAAATATTTCAATATGCGGATGATACTACAGTGATAGTCAGAGAAATGGAGAGTGTTAAAAAGTCATGGAATGTACAGATGTTTTGTAAGAGGATCAGGAGGTAAGGTAAACGAAGAAAAACAGTTTATATGAGATTCGGAGACGTATCAGATTTAACAAATCAATTTACTTTCAAAGAAACTACAGAAATGAAGATCTTAGGTGTTTTAATTGGGAAGGATGAAAAGAAATCAAGCGAAACCATGTGGGAAGAGATCTTAGGAGGTATTGAAAGAAGACCGAACTTTTGGAAACTAAGGACTCTTAGTTTAAAAGGGAAGGTTTTAATCTTAAATGTGTTGATGGTGTCTAAGTTATGGTATACTTTATGTGACGTCTATGCCGTTGTGGATAGAACGAAAGGCTGAAAAAATGTTTTCTTAAATTTTTTATGGGACAGTAAGCCACCAAGAATCGCTACATACTCTAATAGGTGCAGTGGAAGTGGGGAGTTTGGGCTTAATGGATGCTGAGCAAAAGAAGAACAGTTTGAGAGTGAAACTAATAAAAAAGTATATGGATGATGAAAACAAAGCAGCATGGAAAAAAACAATGGATTATTTTATAAACAAATGTGGGAATTTTAATTTGGGGGATAATATTTTAGATTTTACACCCTTAGAGTGTATCTGAGAAAAATTCCATGGTGATGAATCCTGTTGAATATGGCAATTCCCTACTTTCCATCTCAGATAGAGTGCATTGTTGGCCCCCAGTTGAAACACCCGACATCACGTTCCAAATGTTTCTAGTCATTTGGCCAAAATGTAGCTGAAGCTGTACTAAATTCAAATCTGTATAGATACCCATGACATGGATTCATGCTGAAATTTGTGCTCACACATCCAAAAGCCCACACTAGCGTTCAGATCAGAAACATGTGCTGCATACCCTCAGAGCAATAGCTATCAAGAGAATTTGGCGGATATGTTTGTAAAAATTATGGCTGGACATCACATAGCTAACTTTGATCTGCCGTGGCTTGTCTGCTGTTTGTAGATATATATCTTGACCTATGTTTGTGGTTTATCTTAGGTTGAGGATAACAGCAAGCCTCCAATTAGTTGTAGGAGCAGTATTCAGACCAAACAACATATATGCATCTGCCAAATCAGCATCTGTGTAGGATGCCTATGTCTAGGTGACTTTAGGTCTTCAAATGAAGCTCTCCAAGAACAGGGTTGGTGACCACTGGTCTAGGCTATGTTTTTCACAATCTGCTACCCCAGAATGTGCATTGCAGTTGGCTGAGTAGTAGATGCCTTAACAGGCCATCTAAGTGTGCATGGCATTTGAGTAACGCGTAGCTTGATTAAGAGCCAACATTCTATGCAGATGGAAGTGACCATAGCGCTCCGGCACTGTGGCTTAGTTGACTAAAGCACCAGTCTTGAGAACCGGAGGTCCTGGGTTCGAATCCCAGCAGTGCCTACTACAAGTCTCTTCTCTTGTTGCAAGAGCCATGTCTTTAGTACTGCCTGCCATGAAACATCAGCAAGCAGAGATTGGTTCTGTCACATTGGATGGTGACTTCTAAGCTTGATTCTATAAACAGCTTGTGCACTCAGGTCCTGTTACATTTGTTTTCTTTCACAAGTATCGTCTTCAAAGGAGTATCTCCAGGAACAGGGTTGGTGACCAATGGTCTGGGTTATCTTTTTTCTGAATCTGACAGAATGTGCATTTCATGGCTGGTTGAGTAGATGCCTTAATATGTCATCTATGTCCGCAAGCCATTGGCGTAAAGCTTAGCTTAAGTAAGAGTCAACAATCAGTTCAGAAAGATGGCATTTAAGACCAGTGGTGCTGTAGCCTAGTTGGTTAAAGTGCCTGTCTTGTAAACAGGAGATCCTGGGTTCAAATCCCTGCAGTGCATCATGCCTGATTTTTTATTTCTAGTGCAATGTCTTCAATCCCTTTGTTCCAGAGAAAAGAGAACACCAGCAAGCCTTGATTTGGTCTGTGTCACATTGGATGGTGGCTTCATGGCTTGAATCAATTAAAACCTTATGGGTTCAGATCCTGCTACATTTGTTTGCTTTTTTTTTTGCATGTAAATTTCAACTGCTATCAACAAATACTCTTTTGTAGTTGCTTCCTAACGAATCCTGGAGAAAAGGGAGATGCAATGCAGGGACGCAATATTTCCCATCAATCATAGAAGAGATCCAGAGTGCGAATTTCTTCAGTGACTGTTAAAAGACTCTTCTGTTTGTGCAACTGCTATGCCTGCTAACATGTGCTGAATACCCTCAGAGCAATTATGTCAACAGAATGTTGCTGATAGGTTTCTAAAGACTATGGCTGGAGATCAGATTGTTCTTTGCTTGTATTTTCTCTTTGGTAAGTCGCTTTGCATAAAAGCGTCTGCTTAATGAATAAATGTAAATGTAATATTTGATCTGCTGTGGCTTGTGTGCTGTTTGTGGATAAATATCTTGACCTATGTTTGTTGTTTATTAGAGGTTGAGGATCCTAGCATTCCTCAAACCCACGGTAGGAGCAACATTCTGGCACAAACAAGATATCTACATATGCCAGATCAGCATCTGTGTAGGATGCCTATGTCTAGGCTACTTTAGATGGAGCTAAGGTCTTCAAAGTAGGATCTCCTAGAACAGGGTTGGTGACCACTGGTCTGGGCTGTCTTTTTCTGAATCTGACACCACAGAATGTGCATTTCGTGGCTGGTCAAGCAGATGCCTTAATATGTATTCTATGTCTGCATGACGTTGGCATAAAGCTTAGCTTGATTAAGAGTCAACAATGAGTTCAACAACACTGAACTTAAACACTATGGTGCTGTGGCTTCGTTGGTTAAAGTACCTATCTAGTAAACAGGAGATCCTGGGTTCAACTCCCAGAAGTGCCTGGTGCAGGAGCTTTTCTTTCAAGACCAATGCCTTCCATCCCTTTGATGCAAAAAGGAGTAATCACCAGCAAGCGCAGATTGGTTTGTGCAATGCCAAAACAACTTCATACCATAATTTCATGCCATAATTTGTGCTCACACATTCAAACCCCAAACAAGCATTCTTCTTAGCCAAGATTACCAACATGTGCTGAGTACCCTCAGAGCAATTATGTCAACAGAATGTTGCTGATATGTTTGTAAAGACTATGGCTGGAGATCAGATAGTACATTGCTTGTATTTTCTCTTTGTTGTTAACTTTGGATAAAAGCGTCTGCTTAATGAATAAACGTAAATGTAATATTTGATCTGCTGTGGCTTGTGTGCTGTTTGTGGATAAATATCTTGACCTATGTTTGTTGGATATCAGAGGTTGAGTATCATAGCATTCCTCAAACCCGCGGTAGGAGCAGCATTTTGTCACAAGCAACATACCTGCATATGCCAGATCAGCATCTTTGTAGGATGCCTATGTCTAGAATACTTTATCTGGTGCTATGTTCTTCAAAGGAGTATCTCCAGGAACAGGGTTGGTGACCAATGGTCTGGGTTATCTTTTCTGAATCTGACACGACAGAATGTGCATTTCATGGCTGGTTGAGTAGATGCCTTAATATGGCATCTATGTCCGCATGCAATTGGCATAAAGCGTAGCTTGAATAGGAGTCAACAATTAGTTCAGACAGGTGTCGTCTAAGGCCTTTGGTGCTGTGGCTTGTTGGTTGAAGCACCTCTCTTATAAACAAGAGATCCTGGGTTCAAATCCCAGCAGTGCCTGATACTCTTTGTTTCAAGAGCAATGTCTTCAATCCATTTGTTCCCGAGAAGAGAGAACACCAACAAGCCTTGATTTGGTCTGTGTCACATTGGGTGGTGGCTTCATGGCTTGAATCAATTAAAACCTTGTGGGTTCAGATCCTGCTATGTTTGTTTGCTTTCAGACGTGTTTTGCATGTAATTTTCAACTGCTATCAACAAGAACCCCTTTGTAGTTGCTTCCTAACGAATCCTGGAGAAAAGGGAGATGCAATGCACGGACGCAAAATCGCCCATCAATCATAGAAGAGATCCAGAGTGCGAATTTCTTCAGTGCCTGATAAAAGACTCTTCTGTTTGTGCAACTGCTATGCCTGTCTTACAGCCTGAGATGACACACCACACAAGCAAGCCAAGATTGGTTCTTTGGGACACTGGATGGTGAAGTCTAGCCTTGACATTGGTGCGATTCAATGCTTGTGGGATAAGGTTCGTGCTAAGGTTGCTTTCTTTCAGACATGTGTTACGTGTAGATTTCAAGTGCTGTCAACAGGAAAACACCTGTTTAGTAAACAAGAACAGGAAAGCGCTATACCCTCACTGAATTTGGAAGAGCCTGAGATGAAACAGCTTTGCTACTTATAACCTGGGCTCTGTGGTGCAATGGAGTTGGACTTCGAGGTTCCTCCCTGGAACTACTCAAAGGTTCTTGGTTTAAGTTACTCCAGAGTCATTTGCTTTCACATGGGTGTTGCTTGTTAGTTTTTTCGATACCACAGAGGGTATCCTGTTGAATATGGAAATTCCCTACACTGCATCTTAGATGGAACGCTTTGTTGGCCCCAGGTGAAAACAATGTCATCAAGTTCCCCATGTTTCTACTCATTTGCCCAAACTTACACTGAAGCTGTGCTAAATTTAAGTTCCTAGAAAATACCCATGCCATGGATTCCCGACATAATTTTGTGCTCACACATCCCAACACCACACTAGCATTCTACTTAGCAAAGATTAGAAACATGTGCTGTGTACCCTCAGTGCAATTGCTGTGAACAGAAATTTGGTGATATGTGTGTAACGACCATGGCTGGATATCAGATAGTGTCTCTGATCTGCTGGGGCTTGTCTGCTGTTTGTGGAAATATATCTTGAACTATGTTTGTGTTTTATCATAGGTTGAGTATCCTAGCATGTCTTAAATCAGCTGTAGGAGCAGCATTCTGGCACAAACTACATGTATGCATATGCCAGATCAGCATCTGTGTAGGATGCCTATGTCTAGAATACTTTAGCTGGTGCTATCGTCTTCAAAGGAGTATCTCCAGGATCAGGGTTGGTGACCAATGGTCTGGGTTATCATTTTCTGAATCTGACACGACAGAATGTGCATTTCATGGCTGGTTGAGTAGATGCCTTAATATGTAATCTATGTCCGCAAGCCATGGGCGTAAAACTTAGCTTAAGTAAGAGTCAACAATCAGTTCAGAAAGATGGCGTTTAAGATCAATGGTGCTGTGGCTTAGTTGGTTAAAGTGCCTGTCTTGTAAATAGGAGATTCTGGGTTCAAATCCCAGCAGTGCCTCATGCCTGATTTTTTATTTCTAGTACAATGTCTTCAATCCCTTTGTTCCAGAGAAGAGAGAACACCAGCAAGCCTTGATTTGGTCTGTGTCATATTGGGTGGTGGCTTCATGGCTTGATTCAATTAAAACCTCGTGGGTTCAGATCCTGCTATAATTGTTTGCTTTCAGACATGTTTTGCATGTAAATTTCAACTGCTATCAACAAGAACTCCTTTGTAGTTGCTTCCTAATGAATCCTGGAGAAAAGTGAGATACAATACAGGGACGCAAAATTGCCCATAAATCATAGTAGACATCCAGAGTGCGAATTTCTTCAGTGCCTGATAAAAGACTCTTCTGTTTGTGCAACTGCTATGCCTTTCTTACAGCCTGAGATGACACACCACACAAGCAAACCAAATTTGGTTCTGTGGGGCTCTGGATGGTAAAGTCTAGCCTTTGTCATTGATGCGATTAAAAGCTTGTGATTCAGGTTCGTGAAAAAGGTTGCTTTCTTTCAGACATGTGTTACGTGTAGATTTCAAATGATGTCAACAAGAAAACACCTGTTTAGTAAACAAGAACAGGAAAGCGCTATGCCCACACTGAATTTGGAAGAGCCTGAGATGAAACAGCTTTGCTTCTTATAACCTGGGCTCTGTGGTGCAATGGAGTAGACTTCGAGGTTCCTCCCTGGAACTACTCAAAGGTTGTTGCTTTAAGTTCCTCCAGAGTCATTTGCATGCATATGGTTTGCTTGTTAGTTTTTTTCGATACCACAGAGGGTATCCTGTTGAATATGGAAATTCCCTACTCTCCATCTTAGATGGAATGCTTTGTTGGCCGCAAGTAAAACAACGTCATCAAGTTTCCCACACGGCTAATATCAAAGTTTACTCACACGGCCGACCAAGTTCTGCTCGAGCCCAAGTCTACTGACATGGCCGACAAGTTCTGCTCGAGCCCAAGTCTACTGACACGGCCGACCAAGCTCTGCTCCAGCCCAAGTCTACTGACACGGCCAATCAAGTTCTGCTCAAGCCCAAGTCTACTGATACGGCCGACCAAGTTCTGCTCATGCCCAAGTCAGCTGACAGGGACAACCAAGTTCTGCTCATGTTCACATCTGATGACCTGACCAACAAAGTTATGCTTACACCAAAGTCAGAAAAAACGTTCGACCAAGTTCTGCTCATGCCTGAGTTTGCTGAAACAGACAACCAAGCTCTACTCATGGCTACATTTGCTAACCTGTCTAACCAAGTTATGCTCATGCCCGAATCCGCTGACATAGCCTACAAAGTTCAGCCTGCAGGCTCCACTGAGAACATTGCTCACCTTTCCTGTTCTGCTGAGAACTTTGCTCTGCTTTCCTGTTTTGCTGAGGATGTCACTATGCTTTCCTGCACCGCAGAGGACGTCCCTCTGCTTTCCTGCAATGCCAAGTACATTGTTCTGCTTTCCTGCTCTGCTGTGGATGTCGCTCTGCTGTGAACGTTGCTCTGCTTTCCTCCAATGTTGAGGATGTCCCTTTGCTTTGCTGCAACGCCGAGGAAGTCGCTCTGCTTTCCTGCACTGCGGAGCTCGTCGCTCTGCTTTTCTGCTCTGTTGAGGACGTCACTCAGTTTTCCTGTTCTGCTGAGGACGTCACTCCGCTTTCCTGTTCCACCAAGGATGTCACTCTGCTTTCCTGCTCTGCCGTGAACATCGCTCTGCTTTTTGTTGTGCTAAGAACGACATGCTTGGGATATTTTGCTCAGGGGGTCGGGGCCGCCAATGGAGATGGATGTTTCATGTCACTCTGGGAGGAGTGCCCATCGGGGAGGTTCTGTCATGAGTTCCCCTTTAAGCAGTGTGCTGTGGAGCATGTGAGCACGCAAGCCGAGCATGGTGCGCGAGCACATGCTTTTTTGTTGTTGACAATTGTGACATTTAGACACGTGCATTTGTTATGTTTGTTATGTCTCCTCCCTGTTCTGTCATTTGTTTTTGTTTCACATTCAGCTGAATTGCCCTCAGCCGTCAGCCATTACAACGCTGATTATGTTTGTATATATACCGCGTGTCTTCCCAGCACACGGCGCAGAATATTAGATTAGATTCAAATCATTACGATAGTCAGTCATAATCAGTCATAGTCATAGTCATAGTTCGTGTCCGGTTTCATTTTTAGATTCGTTTGTTTAGTTCACGCTGGTTTCTCCACTCCCAGTTCAGCTTCATAGCTTATGTTTCATGTTTTGTATCTCGACCCTGTTTTCCGTGACCACGACATTGTTTCCTGCCTTGCTCCGTTTATGCCTGTTTGCCGATTGCCTGACCTCTTGCATGTTTTGGATTACGTTTTTGGATCACGTTTTGGATTTACCTGCCTGTGTTTCTCATTAAATAAAACTGTTCCAACTGCATTTGCATCCATCAGATCTTCCTTACGTCACGATACGTGCCATTTTGATCATAATATCAAAATTATGTCATATAATCCTATGTGACTAAATGACAGAATTGTATATCATGTTGGACCATGTTTTCCAGAGATTTTTTATTTGAATTTCTTGTAGTGTGCTTACTTGACAATGAGGGGGAGCAGCATCGGAGAGACAGTTCGCTCCATTCTCCACAGAATCAGGGAGAACAGCCTGTGGTGTATGTTTTTGTTGTTAGGGTCAAAAGGTGGGAAGCTGGCTTTGACTGATCATGATGAAGTGCAGCGCCTTGTACACTGTAAGTATGAAGGGTAAAAAATGTATATACCTTCTTTTGCAAACTCTTGAAAAGAATGTTTTGCCTTCAGAAATTGGACATTTTCTATTATTGCATTCCAAGGCTGAATGTTTTTGTTGATGTTTATGTTACAGATATTGCCGAATGAGCCCATGGACGTGAATATACTGTTGCCAATTGCAGAGAGGCCATCGGCAGCTACATAAAAAAATGCCCCAGCCAGGAAAGGTGTCAAGAAACATAATGTGAGTGTTTTTGATTAAGTCTAGAATTTACATACAACTTCTATGTTTCTTTTTCTTTTCTCCTTCATACAAATGTGCCATTGTGTAACATTGTTTACTGATTGGTTTTTATATCCATTTGAAAAACAAAAACCTTTCCACTATGCATTCAACTGAAAGTGCAAACCTTTATTAAATATTGATGATTGATTTGGAGGTTTGAAATTATTATTGAATTGTGGTTCACTTTATTGTGTTCAGGAATGTGTAGCTAATGTCTGTAATTTACTGCTTCCAAAATTGTTGGTTCAGATTGCATCATATAGTACATGTATATACAGTGAGGGAAAAAAGTATTTGATCCCCTGCTGATTCTGTACGTTTGCCCACTGACAAAGAAATGATCAGTCTATAATTTTAATGCTAGATTTATTTGAACAGTGAGAGACAGAATAACAACAAGAAAATCTAGAAGACAGTTCCAAGTCATAGTCCACGTTTCATGTTTGTT